CATCCTCCCAGTTCCCCATCTCACCTTCTCTCTCCCCTAGATCTTGCATCCAACTCAGATAGAGACCCTATTCTCAAGCACAGTCCACACAGACCAGAAGATAAAATAGAAAATACAAACCGAGGAACAAAACATTCTCTCCATCTTTGCTATGTCTTTATCCCCGCACATCTTGTAGACAAGATAAAGTTTTTTTGGGTGGGTTGGTGTTCCACTTTCCTCCATTAGGAGTCCTGTCTAGTTAGAGGGTGGCCTCTTTAGTCTCCATGACCTCCACTACTAGGGGTCCCAGCTAGAGTCACCCCCATATCTTGGCTCAGGGGATCTCTATAGGATGCCGTTAATCAGAGGATGCAGAGATCCATGAAAAAAGTGAGGTCATATTTGAGGTGAGGTATTTGGAAAAGGGAGGTGACATGATATTGAAACCAGTCTTCTATGTTAACTAAATGTGAAATACTTTGAAATGTTTATGTAGTCACATGACTGTAGCAAGCTTATATTCCACTTAGACAAGTGGCTCACAGGTGTGAGAGAATAATATAGGGATTTAGTACCACACTCTAAATTCAAATTACAATTCTACCAACTGAGAGTTTTGTAACACAAGAGTTTTCCTTTACTATTCTGAGGTAATTGATAACAGAGAATAAACTAATATGATTTGCAATCCTTTGTGTCCCAATGTATACATTTTGTAAGACACAAGTTGTCTACTGCTGATATTTGTCTCTTTTATTTGTCTACTACAGGGTAACTCTCTGTCACCATGATGAATATTAGATCCTGGATAAAATGCTTCCTATATTTTATTTATGTGTCATGATTATTTTTGAAACTAAGGACCTGTAGAGTACTGAACCATGGCAGCATGGAATCACACAGGTGTGAAAAAATTCATACTGACAGGCTTAACTGGAAACCTGGATTGGCAGGTACCTCTCTTCTTGATTTTCAACCTACTTTATTTCATCATCCTTGTGGGTAATTGGGGGATAATTATCTTGATTTGGTTGAACACCCAACTTCATACACCAATGTAATTCTTCCTTAGTAACCTCTCTTTCTGTGATATCTGCTACTCTAATGTCATTGCTCCTAAGATGCTCATCAACTATTTAGCAGGACACAAGGCTAGCATATACTTTGCCTGTATTCTACAGAGTTTCTTTTTTGTTATTTATGGAAACACAGAAGTCATTCTCCTGTCTATGATGGCTTATGATCATGTTGTGGCTATTGCAAACCCCTTAATGTACACAGTTATTATGACCCACAGCCTTTGCACTCAGATGGTTCTTGCATGTTACATGGGTGGCCTCATGAACTCCCTGACTCACACAATAGGTCTACTCAGACTGGACTTCTGTGGTCCAAACATTGTGAATCATTTCTTCTGTGACATTCCTCCTCTTCTGAAGCTTTCATGCTCGGATGCACACATCAATGAGATGCTGCTTTTGGTCTTGTCTGGAGTGATTGCTATTTGCACTTCCTTTTTTATTTTTTATTTTATTTTTCTTTATTAATTACACTTTACTTACTTTGTATCACCCCCGTGGTTCCCTCCCTCCTCCCATCCTCCATCCTCTGCCTGCATGCCCCTCCCCAAGTCCACTGAAAGGGGAGAACTTCTTTTCCTTCCTTCTGATCCTAGTCAATTAGGTCTCATCAGGAGTGGCTGCCTTGTCCTCTTCTGTGGCCTGGTAATGCTGTTTCCCCCTCAGGGGGAGGAAATTAAAGAGCAGGCCAATCAGTTCATGTCAGAGACAGTCCCTGTTCCTATCACAATGGAACCCACTTGGTTACTGAACTGCCATGGGCTACATCTGTGCAGGGGTCTTAGGTTATCTCCATGCATAGTCCTTGGTTGGAATAGCAGTCTCAGGAAAGACCCCTGTGCTCAGATTTTTTGGTTCTGTTGCTCTCCTTATGGAGTTCCTGTCCTCTCCAGATCTTACTATTTCCCACTTCTTTCCTAAGATTCCATGCACTCTGCCCAAAGGTTGCCCATAAGTCTCAGTATCTACATTGATAGTCTGCAGGGCAGAGATTTTCAGAGGTCCTCTGTGCCAGGCCCTTGACTTGTTCCCTCTTTTATCCTTCTTCTGGTGGCCAGCCTCTTTGCCTTTCTGGGTAGGAATTGAGCATTTTAGCAAGAGTCCTACCTCTTGATTAGTTTCTTTAGGTGTACAGATTTTAGTAGGTTTATCCTATATTATATGTCTATATGAGTGAGTATATACGGTGTGTATCCCTCTGCTTCTGGGATAGCTCACTCAGGATGATCTTTTCCAGACCCACTATTTACCTGAAAATTTCATGATTTCCTTGTTTTTTATTATTGAGTAATATTCCATTGTGTAGATATACCACAATTTGTGCATCCATTCCTCCACTGAGGGGCATCTGGGCTGTTTCCAGCTTCTGGCTATTATAAATAAGGCTGCTACAAACATGGTTGAGCAAATATCCTTATTGTGTACTTGAGAATCTTTTGGATATATGCCTAAGAGTGATATAGCTGAGTGACCCCAAAAACTCTACCAGGGAACTGCTACAGCTGATTAACACCTTCAGCAAAGTGGCTGGATACAAAATTAACTAAAAAAAAAAAAATCAGTAGCCTTCCTGTATACAAAGAACAAAAGGACCGAGAAAGAAATTAGGGAAACAACACCCTTCATAATAGCCACAAAGGACATAAAGTACCTTGGTGTGAACATAACCAAGCAAGTCAAAGACTAGTATGAAAAAAAATTCAAGTCTCTGAAGAAAGAATTGGAAGAAGATATCAGAAGATGGAAAGATCTCCCATGCTCATGGCTTGGCAGGATTAACATAGTAAAAATGGCCATCTTACCAAAAGCAATCTACAGATTCAATGCAACTCCCATCAAATTACCAACACTATTCTTTACAGACCTTGAAAGAAAAATTCTCACCTTCATATGGAACAACAAGAAACCCAGAATTGCTAAAACAATTTTCTACAGTAAGAGATCTTCTGGAGGTATCTCCATCCCTGATCTCAAGCTGTACTATAGAGCAACAACACTAAAAACTGCATGGTACTGGCATAGAAACAGACTGGTGGATCAATGGAATCGGATAGAAGACCCTGACATAAATCCACACACTTATGGATACCTGATTTTTGACAAAGATGCCAAATCCATTCAAGGAAAAAAGATAGCATCTTCAACAAATAGTGCTGGTCTAACTGGAAGTCTACATGTAGAAAAATGCAAATAGATCCATACTTATCACTCTGCACAAAACTAAAGTCCAAGTGGATCAAAGACCTCAACATAAAACTAGACACACTAAACTGCTTAGAAGAAAAAGTGGGGAATACCCTTGAACTCATTGGCACAGGAGACAACTTCCTGAACAGAACACCAAAAGCACAGGCTCTAAGAGCAACAATCAATAAATGGGACCTCATGAAACTGAAAAGCTTCTGTAAAGCAAAGGATACTGTCCTCAGAACAAAACGACAGTCTACAGATTGGGAAAGAATCATCACCAACCCTTTATCTGACAAAGGGCTAATATCCAGTATATATATAAAGAACTGAAGAAGTTAAACAACAAAAAATCAAGTAACCCAATTTAAAAATGGGGTACAGAGCTAAACAGAGAATTCTCAATAGAGCAATATCGAATGGCAGAGAAGCACTTAAAGAAATGTTCAACCTCATTAGCCATCAGGGAAATGCAAATCAAAACAACCCTGAGATTTCACCTTACGCCCATCAGAACGGCTAAGATCAAAAACTCAAGAGACAACACATGCTGGAGAGGTTGTGGAGAAAGGGGAACCCTCCTCCATTGCTGGAGGGAATATAAACTTGTACAACCACTCTGGAAAGCAATCTGGTGCTTTCTCAGACAACTAGGAATAGCACTTCCTCAGGATCCAGCTATTTGCACTTTCATCATCATCACCATGGGGTCCTATATCCACATTACTATTTCCATCTTGAGAATCCATTCATCTGAAGGAAGGCGCAAAGTCTTCTCCACTTGTGCTTCTCACCTGACAGCTGTGACATTATTTTAGGGATCTTTGACTTTTAGTTTTATGCAGCCGAGCTCTCAGTACTCCATGGAACAGGAAAAGCTCTCTGCTGTGTTTTACACCTTGGTCATCCCCATGCGGAACCCTCTGATTTACAGCCTGAGGAACAAGGAAGCTGCCAAGAGTTCAATTTGTGGCGAGAGCAGTGTCTCTTGACTCTGTTCTTTCTCTGGCTTTGAAAACTTGATGTGAAACTTCAAAGTGACATTATTCAAAATTATTAATCTTTTTTAGGAGTCACATAGAACTTTAGGCCAAAAAAATTTAGTAGATATTATTATTAAATACTATATTATTTCAGAGAAAACTTAAAATATCCTTAATTATTACTTTCAGAGATTCCTTTACTTGGATCTATAAATTCTCTACAAAAGTAGAAATGATCATCTTCCATTTTGTATATTATTTTAATAGTATGGTAACTGGCTGCATAAAAATAAAGCTCATTCCTCAAAATATTAAATAAACTAACTTTTATGAATTACCTGCATTATGTCAAATGCTGTGATATACAAATTTAACTGACTGGTAGAACAAAAATTTTTAGGCCAAGAAAGGGAAGAGAGCCTTTTCAGCGTAACGAAATATAGCACTTTGGTTGCTGTGGGTTGCTTTTAAGCAAAGATGGATTCCATGCCTGACAATGCTTAGCTAAACAAGATCCTTGCTTATAGTCCAGGATCAATGATAAAACTAAATACTGCTGTTATACTAAAATAAGGTAGCAATAAAAATACTTCTGATGACATCCTAGACACTGACAAGTGAGGGTCTTGCTCAGCCATCATCAGAGATGCTTCCTCCTGAAGACATTTCAAAAAAAATAGAGAGACCCAAAGTCAGAAAATATGCTGAGAGTGAGAGACCTTGGAATACTTAGCGTTATTTGAGATGTTTTCATCAAATCCATCTTCTCAGGACTCAGAGAAACCTGTGGAAGAACAGTCAGAAATACTGCACCAGCCAGAGGTAATAAAGGAGACTAAGAAACCTAAGCCTTCTAAACATGATCAAAGTCCATATAAGCACACAGAGGATAAGGAAGGACCTGCACTGTACTGTACCAAGATATGCATGTATGTATGTATGTATGTATGAATACATACATATGGTATGTGTGTATATATGCTATTCATACATACTATAAATTTATGTTTAGCATTTTATGATATTCCTGAATTTGCAAATGAGAAATTTTCTAGTTATTGTGCCTTCTCTTGCACTCCTTTCCTTCTCTTTGATTGCTTTGTTCAATTAGAATGTGTTAGATCTTTCATTCTTACATTATATTGTATTATATTAATCACTATCCATAGAAGCCTGTTTGTAATGACAGACAAAAACAGTGGATCTGGATGTGAGTGGAAATGGGAAGGATCTGTGGGAAATAAAGTGAGTGAAAACATTAATAAGACAATATTATGTTAGAAAATGTATTTTCACAAACAAATCATGAAATTTGCAAGTAAATGGGGGGGATCTGGAAAAGATCATCCTGAGTGAGCTATCCCAGAAGCAGAAAGATGGACACGGTATATACTCACTCATATAGACATATAATATAGGATAAACCTACTAAAATCTGTACACCTAAAGAAACTAATCAAGAGGGAGGACTCTTGCTAAAATATTCAATTCCTATCCAGAAAGGCAAAGAGGCTGGCCACCAGAAGAAGGAGAAAAGAGAGAACAAGTCAGGAGCCTGACACAGAGGACCTCTGAAAATCTCTGCCCTGCAGACTATCAATGTAGATACTGAGACTTATGGGCAACCTTTGGGCAAAGTGCAGGGAATCTTAGGAAGAAGTGGGAAATAGTAAGATCTGGAGAGGACAGGAACTCCATAAGGAGAGCAACAGAACCAAAAAATCTGAGCACAGGGGTCTTTCCTGAGACTGCTATTCCAACCAAGGACTATTCATGGAGATAACCTAAGACCCCTGCACAGATGTAGCCCATGGCAGTTCAGTATCCAAGTGGGTTCCATTGTGATAGGAACAGGGACTGTCTCTGACATGAACTGATTGGCCTGCTCTTTAATTTCCTCCCCCTGAGGGGGAAACAGCATTACCAGGCCACAGAAGAGGACAAGGCAGCCACTCCTGATGAGACCTAATTGACTAGGATCAGAAGGAAGGAAAAGAAGTTCTCCCCTATCAGTGGACTTGGGGAGGGGCATGCAGGCAGAGGGTGGAGGAAGGGAGGGATTGGGATGGGAGGAGGAAGGGAACCATGGGGGGGATACAAAGTGAGTAAAGTGTAATTAATAAAGAAAAATTTAAAAAAAGGAAGAAAAAAGTTAGAAAAAAAAGAAAATGTATTTTCAATAAAACATAATTTAGAATATGTGTTCTTTTTCTATAGGACATGGAGTTAACGATATTTCTGTTTGTGCGCCATAGCTTTCCTTGGTTTTATGGAAATAAAATGAAATATTCCTTAATTATTCCATGACACAGTTATAACTTATGCATCAGTGACAGATGCCTCTTATGCTATCATGGCTCTGCTTTTAAATCAGGAAGACAAGGACAATAAGAAATAAATTAACATGTCAGTAATTTTATGTGTTGCAATCAAGTATAGTAAATATAGGCATTCATGTTATGAATCATGCAGTAGAATTAGTAGGAAAAGAGTAAGTTCATTTTAAGTCAGTTTAGGGAAGTTAAAATGCATATCCCTTTAGACAAATATGTGGAAATTATGTAAAATAAGTCAGAATGCCAAGTTTATTTTTATCCTCAAATTGTACTTAAATTGTACTCAAGAGAAGAAACTGAACCATGTCAGCCAAGAGACTTAAACTATTTCTTATAATACACAGTTAATAGTTATTTTATGTCACTTTGGATTCGCAATGGAAATGTAAAAGAAAGTTAAGGTTTCAAAGGAAGCATTGTACTCACAGACAGACATGTGTTTGTTAGGTGGAGAAAACTCTTCATACTCTCAGCATTGGGTTGGGCCACTGTAGCAGAGACAGTTTGCTAAGATTCATTTGCATATCTTAAGTACTGCTTCACTTTAGGGGTTAAACCTGAAGATACTTAAAGTTGGATCCTGAGTCCAAGTAAATAGATGTTTTGAGTAATTTTCACAACACTTCATATTTCACCTCAAATATCATTTAACACCATTTCCTTTGGACAAAACTCTCAAACTGAATAAAGATTATTATAGATGTCTTTGATCCTAGCTATTAGGTTTTTAAATCACTTAAACACATTCATATACACACAGACAGAGACAGAGACAGAGAGAATACAGAAAGCCTTGTATATCAATCTCAAATCCCTGTGTTTAGTAGCCAGAAAACCTACATGATCTCCTACACATGTACAGTCCTTACTGGTTCTGATCTTAAATAGAATGTTAACTTACAGTTATGCATTCAGACAGTAGTGTGTATGCGAGTGTGCTTGTGTGTGTGCTTGTGTGTGTGTGTATGTGTGTGTGTGTGTGTGTGTGCATGTATGTGTTGGGTCTTAGGCATGTGGATAATATACTCTTGTATTTAAGTAGATTCCCATGACCTACTTTTTTGGAAGGGGACTTTCTTAAAATTTGTATTATTATTATTTTTACTTTTATTAGGATTCAATACAACAACAAAACAACCCAAGCCAAAAAAAGCAAAATAAAACCACTTGCAAAAGAAGGAAAAACAAAAGCTAACAGTCAGACAGACAAAAGCAAAACCAAACTGTGAACAAATAAAAGCACACACCACACACACAAAACAAACAACCAAACAAACAAAAACTATGCAGTCCATTATATGTTGGTCAACTACTCATGAACATGAGGCAGTCCTGGAGTGGTTGACATACTCAGTGTCACTCTATTGGAAAAAACTGATTCTTTTTCTCCGAACAGGTATAATTGACAGTTCAGTTATTCAGCTGTTAAATTTCCCTCTATTTTCTAAGTTCATTCATTCATTCACTTTTAAAAATACATAAAAATAATAAAATATAATACAAAACAAAACTACCACTTTCTAGCTGAACAAAACAAACCAGCAAAAAGAGAAGACTCTGAGAGGAGTTACAAGAACCAAAGACTAACTCATTTGCTCCAGAGGAATAGCTTAAAAACACTGTATTGAAGATGATTACATGTAAGTATAGGATCTGGCACAGACATATGGCCCTGCACATGCTGCTTCATTCTCTGTGCGCTCTTATGAGCTTTGTTGATGTTCATTTAGAGGGACTGTTTTCTTTTTGTCCTTTTTTTCCTCTTGATCTTACAATCTTTATGTCCCCGCATCTGACACTGCTTGGGTGACTAAGAACTTGATAGCCTATGGACTTAAGGGAGTACCAAATAGTACTGCTCTAAAAAAGGAAAAGCAAGTTGAGTAATAAAATGACCCTTATATATATTTCCTCTACTCATAGATCAGTGCTTTGTTTAGCTAAAATTACTGAAGCCTCCTCCAGCAGCAGATGGAAACAAATATAGGGACCCACAGCCATACATGACACAGAAGGTGATCACTCATCTCAGAGTTCAGGAAATCCCAGGGGGGATAATAATTTATAAATTGTGTGTCTTGGTATGTTTTACAGTAGCTACTTTTAACACCATCCAAATGTATCAGGAGTGTTTCAATGGAAACAATTAATTTCCACTATCAGTTCTGTGTCAACATTTCTTGAATATTTGATACATTGACTCAATTATTTACCTGTATCTACTATAAAATTTTTCTTCTCCTTTTCCCAATTATTTGCAGCTATTTTCTGTAAATGATACTTCTTTTTAATATTGACTACTTATATTGAACCTCTGCTTGATTTATTAATAGTAGTAGTCTTCTTATATACTAAAGATTTTCTGTGTATAAGGCAGTGCCATTTTTAAGCAGAGGGAATTTTAACTTTCATTTTTCCAAAAGAGAAGCCTTGTTAATCCTATCATGCAATCACTCTGACAACCATTTTTACTTCTCTATTACATAGAAATGACAAGCTTCAGTATCAACAACACATCAGCTCTTGTTCTGTTATATCCACCTTGGTTGAAGATGATCAATATTTTTTAACTCAGTATACTGAATTTTAATTCATGTTAGTCACCTGAAAATATATCTGCTACCTTTAAAACTGAATTAAGATAAATGGATGAAGAGATTCTATGAATAAATT